TTAAAGAATAAATACCTATCAAGTGAGCTAAAAGTCACCAATTCATTTTTTTTTTCTTTTTCAGTACCAGAGGTACCATCTGCAGCCCTTTTTTATATTTTATTTAGAGACAGGGCCTTGCTAAGTTGCTGAGGCTGGCTTTGAACTTGTGATCCTCCTACCTCAGCCTCCCCAGCCACTGAGATTACAGGCACGTGCCACTGCACTCCATTCACCTGATTATTACAAAACCATTGACACTTTGAGTCCATGGATTTAGTTGGAATGCTTAGCTGAATCCAAAATGACTTTTAAATTCCAGAAATTTAGACTTACAGATACTCATTAGTTATAGACCAACTCTTCCTTCCAGATGGAGAAACTAAGGCTCAGAGAACTTAAATAACTTTTTAAAATTTTTTTTGTTGCTGTTGTTTTTTGTTTTGTTTGTAGTACTGAAAATTGAACTCAGGGGCTTTCTATTACTGAGCTACATCCCCAGGCCTTTTTATTTTCTAATTATGAGACAGGGTATCACTAAGTTGCTTAGGGCCTCACTGATTTGCTGAGGCTGGCCTTGAACTTATCCTCCTGCCCCAGCCTCCCAAGTGGCTGGGATAACAAGCATGTGCCACCTGCTAAGTTGAATACTTTTTGATTCTTTAGAAAAGCTTGAAATATTGATGTATTGCTGTATTTGGCTCATTGGCATCCACGAATATCCAGTTAACTCCAGGAGAAAATAATTGTAGTCCATCATGCCACTGGAACCTAGAAACCAACATACCTGTAGCCTCACAAACTTGGAAAGAAAACAGAACTTTAAGTTCAGATAAGCTTTACTTCAGAGCCCAAAACTCATCCACCATTACACACATTAGAGGCTGGCTATTTTAAGAAATGCCTCTGCAATAAATTATAAATGAAAAGAAAACAGTCAAACTGATGCTTTAAGCCCGTAGTCATCAGGTCATCAACTTCCGGTGTATGTGAGAATTAGTCTTCTTCCAAAATGTTCCCAGTGACAGGATGTCCTCAAAGACTGAACATTGTAGGTCTACCTACACAGGTCGGATACCTGTGCTTTCAGATTCACTGCATTTTGAGATTCCTTGTTCATGGCATTTTCATTATTCTGTAAACACTACACAAACAGGTATATGTTAGATTTACCTAGTGAGGCTGTTCAATTTCATCTCATGACTGGAACCAAGCATGCTCAGAAGGCCCTAAATTATACAACAGCAGCGGTGACAGATGTCTTCACTCACCCATTAAAGGAAGAGTACAACTGAGTCACAGGGTTTGAGATACCCCTGTTTAATTAAAACATGCAAGAAGGCTAGTAGCCTTCTTTCCAACCAGGAATTTAGGAACACACCAAGTGTTTATGACACCAGGAAATGCATGAAGCAAAGAAAGTTTACATCATGCAGGCATGTGATGTAAGAGTATTTTGGATAAGATATTAACTTTGGTTAAGAGGATATTTTCCATTTACATCTCCCATAAATACCGCTAAGTTTACACAAAGTGGTTAGAGGAAGATTCTGTAGCTCCCCAGGGCAATAATAAAGAATGGTTCAGTGTTTCTGAGGAGCCTCATTTGCCTGATGCACGACTGTTATAGGTATATTTCCCTACAAAACCCTAAATCAGTTTTTATATTTGCATATTCCAGGTTTGCTCAGGAATGCTCAACTTAAGAATCACAGGTGGCTGCTCAGCAAATCAAAGGCTCCCATAAGATTAGGTTTGTAATGCTTCCTGAAATTTACTGCTCCACTTTCCAGCATGTTTGAATTCAGATGACTCCAAGTTGATCCCCAAATCATAAATCAAAATATCTCAGAAGAGTATTATTCTATTTTAGTACTTTTACAGCTTTCTCTGTGTAAAATGAAGAACTATTTCCACACTTTCTATAAAAAAAAAAAAAAGCAAGGATTATAGCAGGACTTCTTGCCATAAACACATCAGGTTTAAAAAATACCAAATACTTTCCAGCCTAATTTAGACTAGCAAGTTTACAGGCACAACACTATCAGAAACAAAAGCATAAGGCATATAAGCCAAGTGCCCCCCCCTTCAAAAGGAAACACACACACACCTTGACCAAATGATTAATTCTAATCACTTAATGACAGACCAGCTTTAGCAGTCAAATAAAAAAGTCATGTCTTGAAATCCATCAGACCTCAGTTCTAGTCCTCGCTCAGACTAAGGAGTGTGACCTTGGACAAGTTACCCCAACCTACTCTGGCCTCAGTTTCTCCATCTGAGAGGAAGAGGTATTTATAGTAACCGCCTCTTCCTTTGAGCAAAACCAAATAGATGGTGACTGCAAAGCACTTTACAGGGCCTGGCATACAGTCAGCAACCCACAAATGTTAGCTGCTGTTAGGAGTTAGGAGGGCCGCGCCCCCTCCGAAGTCTCCCTCATCCCAAACCCAAAAGACAGAAAGCAAAACTCTTTAGCAGGCAACAAAGAAAGCGCTTTAATTCCAAGAGGTGTCTGACTGCAGGCTCCACCAGTTCCTCGAATGAATGAATGAGCGGTTCTGCGAATAGCTGTCGCCTAAGAATCACCTGTGCGCACCTCAAGGTAACTGTCCTCCACCGTCAATTAAACACCCACGAGCACACCCGGAGCTAGGCACTGCGGTCATGCAAATTTCGGCGGAGCCAGGCGCGCAGGGCAGCTTTGGATGCCCACGAGCTGCCTCCATTCATTCTTCTCCGCCCCGCCCGGGTCATCTTCCGAGGCCCAGGACCCGCCCCATCTCAGCTCAGCCCGGCCCGGCCCAGCCCGGCCCCAGCGGCTGAGGGTCCCTCCCCCGCCCTCCGCGCCCGCGGCAACCTGTCGCCCACCGAGCAGGGCCGGCCCCGACGCCGCCTCGCCTGCCCTCCGCACACCAGGCCGCGCGCAGCCCACCCAGCGGCCGCCAGCGAGCGGCCGGGCCCATCTCACCTCCTCGGGGATCCGCCAGCCCCGGCCGGGCCTCGGGGACCGGCTGCGGGGAGAGAGGGAGGGGAGGGCGCTCCGTAGCCCCGGCCCAGGCCCCCCACACCCAGCCGGCCCGCCCCTTGTCTCGACGCGCCAGAGCTTCCCGGTCGGGGGCCGAGCTACCAGGGCCGCCCCGAGGAGCTCTAGGCGAGAGGAACAGCGGACGCCCCCATACTCACCCACCTCTCCTCCCCCGCGGCTGTTTACCTCACAGTCCCTCCAGCCTACAGGGCGCCGCCATCTTGGACGCGCAGCACCTCCCCCTGGCGTGAAACGTCCACGGCCGCCGGAAGCCTCCGCCACAGAAAAGAGTCCCTAGCCGGGCCGCGCCTCGCACCCGAGTCCAGCGACGCGCGGCCGAGAACCGAAGCGCCGCCATTGGAGCGGGCCGTTGCGCTCATCTTTGAGGCTGCGGGCGGCTGCTGCGGAAAAGGACCAAGGAGCGTTTTCAGTGCAGGGGGCGGGGACGGCGGAAGGATCCCAAAGGGAGGCTGCCGAGAGATCTTGTGACTCCGAAGGAGGCGAAAGAAGGCCCGGCGCGACGGGAGGAGCCACGCGGCGCCGGGGGCGGAGCGGGCGGGGCGCTCACGTGACGCCGGCCGAGGCGTAAACAAGCCGGCCCGCGGGCGTGGCGCGCTGCTGCTGGTAGTGCGCTCGGTGCTCTGGGGTCCTCCTGCGCGCGGCTCTGGGCCACGGTCCTGCTCCCCGACCTGTCTCTGCGGCCCGCGTGGGTGAAAGGCCTGCTCTTTTGCCATAGGGTGGGGGTGGGGGTTGCAATCTCTCTTTCTTGTGCAGAAAATTTGCAAAAGCGCGGCGCTGTGTCTCTGCGGAGAACCACTCTGGCTTGTGTCATCATATTACCGACACTTCACACTTACCTACTCGTGACACCAGGAAAAAACAGCCCTAGTAAAAGGAAGCAAGTCACAGACCTTGATTTGTATCCCGCTCTGCTACTGCTCGCGGTGAAAGCCCAAGCTTCCGTTTCTTTCACTGAAATGGGCACAATATTCGCGAATTGGGGGATCCAGGAGATACAGCATGGGAAGCATTTAGCATAGGACCCCACGTCTAGTAGGTACTTAGTGGGTGATGGTCCCTAGGAGGCAGGGGGCAGATGAAAGCCGAGAGGGGCAGAGAGCAAGGCAGGGCAGAGTCTAGCTGTGGTATCTGAAAGGCTTTGTGGAGTGGGCATCAGGCTGGGTGTTAAAGAACAAAAATGGAAGAAAAGGGCATTCCAGGCAGAGAGAACCGAAGAAGCAAGAGCCTTCAGCAAACAAATGGGGTGAGTGACTGGAATAACATGGAAACCAACTAGGTCACAACACACGTTGGCATGTGATTAAGGAGTGAGATGGGGAAGTGGCCAGCACAGTGGATGTTGTCAGAATTCTAAAAAGTCAGGGTGGTCCAGGGAAGGGCTAGTGCTGGTAGGATTGGTGCCCTTGTGGAATTAGAAAAGTACACCCCCTCTGGGCCCACTGTCCCAATGAGCAGAGCCCAGCCCTCATATTCCCCCTCCCACCCACTCCCAAACCTCCTGGGGGAACTTTGAGCAGTGGACACCCTTTAGAATCAGATTATAAAGCTTTCTCCAGTGGCTGGAGATGTGGCTCAAGTGGTAGCGCGCTCGCCTGGCATGCATGCAGCCAGGGGTTTGATCCTCAGCACCACATACAAACAAAATGTTGTGTCTGCCAAAAAATAAAAAATAATTATTAAAAAATTCCCTCCCTCCCTCCCCCCCACTCTCTCAAAAAATAAAATAAAATAAAGCTTTCTCCAGAAGGCTTATGAGGAAGGTGGAAATTGAGCTGGGGAGTCCATGGTCCAACACAGTTACACAGGCAGGTGAGGAAAGCCAAGAGCTCTAGATTCAAAGCAGTTTGAATACAAATTTTGTCACATGAAGAGAGATGGCTTGGAAAAAGTGTCCAGGGAGTTACCAGAGAGAAGGGGAAACTCAGGACCAGCCCAGTTCTTGACACACCTGATGGAAAAGAATTTCACCGTGCACCATTCAAAGACATATAGGTTTATTTAGGAGAGTAGGTACATATTCGAGGGAAAATATGGGCTGTCTTCAGATGGAGAGGAGAGACAGCAACCTTTTGGTGTGGAGATGAATATTCATAGAGGGATTATTGCTAGGGTCTGGCTACAGGGTGAGCCAGGTAGAGCTACGTGACTGCACGCCAGTGTGCCCTGTACTTGCACATTCCCCTCATGGGTTACAAGGGCCTGGGCCAAGGCATGTGCTCAGGAGCTGCCATTCTGCATGGGTGCTCTCTGCATTTCAGTCCTTCATGAGTGTCTCCTGCATTCCAGGGGTTTCTGGGCACTTCTTTTGAGACTCAGTGTTTCTTCCTTTATTCCCAAATTCCTATCTCAGTTTCTGCTCTCATGGTAACTCAATGAGCCTTGGTCTCCTCACCTGCAACATAGGGTGATAATAATGGGCACTTGGGGCAGATTCAATGAGAGATTAAGATGTAATTAGTGCAGAGCCAATTCCACCCATGTCAGATTCATTGTTAGCTTTGCTCACCACCAGTGGCCAACAGTCTCTGGAGTTGATCTGCCAATTCTTATAGCTGCCCAAGCATGGTCCTTCTAGAAGGGGGAAGGAGTAGGGGGAAGGATCCACGTGCTCTCAGTTCCACAGGTCTATAAACCAGATCACAGGAAGAGATACTGCCTTTGCGTACTCACCAGTGCGGGCATTCAAGTTTGTTCAGAGATTTCTGAGGCCACCAGTGGCTGGGAGAGTTAAGGTTATTGAGGAGTGGGGTGGAGGGCTCAGGCACTGCTCCAGAGTGCTGACCCTAGAGCCCCAGCTCCCTACCCCACCTTCCTTGGCTCCATGACATCCTGCTGGAATTCACTCCCCCTGTAAGGGAGCAGGGACACAGAGCTCATCAGCAGCTGGCTCTCAGGGGGGCTGTAAATACATTGTTACTGTTTATACAGTGTTTGGAAGAAGAATGGCAATTGTTACCTCAATAAGGACAGCCAAGGGCTTGTGAGAAGAGGCGGGGAGGGGAAGAAACCTGAAGACGGCCCTGCCACCTGCTCTTACCCATCTGAGATGCCCGATATTTTTGCTTCTCTGAGGTTGAATTTTGTCACTTGCGGAATACATGTTACTCAGACCCCCTCCTTCCCCACATCAGCCCAGAGTCTCCCATAGCAGGGGCCTCCCGTTGGTAGGTATTGCTGACTGTGGCCACTGTTGCACTTGTCTGCAGCATCTCTCCCTTCCTCTCTGAGGAGGTACATTGCCCTTCCCCAGTTCCTCACCAGACAGTCACAGTGCTGCCCCAGGCCACTGAACCTGGACTAGGCCTAGCCAATCTAGCAAAGAGATTGGCCCACTGTTGGTCATGTGAGTTGAGCACAGCCAACTGGAATGCTTCTCTGGGTCTTTATATATAGACATTAGAAGAGATTTCTCTCTTTGGGGGGTCACCAAACTGGGATGAGGAAGCCATGACCTTTCCCTTCCCCAATACCATATTGAGCTATATGAGAACCCTGGCACAGAGAAAGGAGACACTGAGACAAGAGGGATGAAGGGACTGGAAGGGGTGGTTCATGGTAGAGCACCTGCTAAGCTTATCCTCAGCCCAAAAAAGGAGGAGAGAGATGGAAAGAGGAGAGCAGATGCTGGCTCCTACATTTCTGGAGTCCCTGAGACCAACTGTATCTTGTTTTTCCAACTTCCACAAAGCAATAATTATTTCAGCTGATGCTGGCTTCCATGGGTTTGTGTCCCTTCTGAACAAAAGGCCTTCTGGAAGAATAAACAGGACTGGGAGACCTCCAGAAGGACAGCATTAGAAACATCCCCCCACCCAGTGCCTGAAGCTCGTCCATTTGAATGTTCTCGGGCTTCAGCTTTCAGCAGTCTGCATGATAGCTCCTGGCCAGTCTCCCTGACTTCAGTGACCACACATCTGCAGAATCAAGACCAAGCCCCTCTGCAGCCCTGACCTCTCCTCTTGCGGTCCAGCACCATGTCCCCCAGTGCCCTGGATACCCAGAAGCTTCATGCCTGCCCTTCTCAGGCTGTCTCCACTTCTTCATACAGGCAGCCTCATCCTCCTGTGCCGGTCACTCTCCATTGGTCCTTCTTTATCTGGGCTCCCCTCCACTGCCAAACCTTTGCATTTGACCAAAATGAGATGGGCTCAGAGGAGGAAGAAGGAGCTGTGCTACCTGGCCAGCTGTGGTCCACAGATCCTGCATCTGATCTGGCTAACCCTATGTGTTAGCAGGGACTCCCTCCCCTTACTCCTTTTCAGGACCAGGGATTTAACCCAGGGGCACATCACCACTGAGCCACATCCCCGGCCCTTTCTTATATTTTATTGAGAAACAGGAACTTGCGGAGTTGCTGAGGCTGACTCTGAACTCATAATCCTCCTGCCTTAGCCTCCTGAGCCACTGGGATTATAGGTATGTGCCATCACACGTGGCCCTCCCCTTACTCTCAATACCTGGATGTGATCATAGTGTCCTGTGTCACTAGTCCCCAGGTACATCATCATCTCTGGTGTTTCTGAAGCTTCTCATACTTTTGTCTTTTAAATTGTCCCACTAAAGATGCTGCTGGTTCCCACCAAGATCCTAACAGCTATAGCCAATTCTAAGAGGATATGCCCATGGTCTGGGGTACCCACTGTGAACCACTCCAAATTCATAGACGGTCTCACATACCTGTGCTTACTTACCTGATTGGACCTGGATTGGGCTGAAAACATCTCCCAAGCCAGCTAGAGTCTTCTTGAGAATTTTGCAGTGAGATCCCAAGGCTAAGAGCCGGAGTTGGTTGAGGCTCGTAAGTTTGTGCAGCTCCTGGGACCTTATCCAGGGAATGGAGACCACATACAACACTCCTGCCTGGGTTTATGTGGCAAGGCCAAACAATGTTTGTCCCTGGGGGTCAAGGGAGTTGGATCCAGTCAGGTCCCCTCAGCACCCTGGACAGCAGAGGGTAAACTGTCAAGAGACTTGCTGGGGAAGCCATGTGCCCAGACCAGAAGGGGGCAGACGTGATGCAACAGAGGCCCCTGAGGAGGAAGGACAGCCCAAGGGGCCTGGCTGTCTGTCCTTCCTGCTTCAGCCTGGAAGGTGCTTCTGTATCTCTTCAATCCATTTCACTTTTATTAGCACCTTTTTCCATTCCTGGCGACCAAACAAGGCTGGTGGTGGCCAGAACAATGTCCTTTCTTCTTCACCTGCTCACTCCTGTTCTTCCTCTACCAGCCAGCCTTCTCAGGGCCTCCAGCGCCTAAGGACCCCTGCCCTGAGCTCAGCCCACGTCCACCTCTGTTCCTTCAACCTAACTCCCTCCTCCCTGAGGTCATGTGGGTGGGCCTGTCTCCCACCAGGTGCTCATGTTCTGCCCCCCCCCAGGTGGTGGGATGGCAATGTGGTCTCTTGAAACATCTCTGGGTTAAGGTCAAAATCCCAGAGCAGTGTGTCCTGAAATACCCCTCCCCACCCCGTACATATGTATAATTAGTGCAGGGAAATTAAAGGGGAAAAATAAAATGAAAAGCCAAGGACGTTGGCACCAAAGGTGAGATGAAGAGCCCCCAGAGGGAGCTGAGGGCGAAGAGAGCGTTGGAGTCCAGGGCTCCTCCGTGGGGGCCTTGCAGCTGCACCCCTCAGTGGAGTGGACACACGAGGCAAGGTGCGTCCAGCTGAGGATGGGGCTCTTTTGCTTACTTAGGCCGGATTTCCGGGGCAGTATTAATGCTCGAGAGCTGCCATGATAAAGTACACGGCCTGGTGACTTAATGACATGTACTCTTTGTCTCCCAGGCTGGAGGCCAGGAGTCCGAGATGACAGTATCTGTGGGTTGGTTCTGAGCTGCAAGGGGGAATCTGCTCCCTGCCTCTCAAATGCCTCCCGTGGCTTGCTGGCAGTATGTGGTGTTCTTCGGCTTGCGTCACATCACTTCCACATTCACATGGTGCTCCCTGGTGCTCCTCCGTATCCAAAACGTCTCCTTTTTATAAGGACACCCGTCGTAAGGAATTGGGGGCCCACCCAATCCTGGTACAATCTCATCCTAACTAATCACATCTCAACGTTACTGAGGAGCTATGGGCTACGACTTCAACATGTGAAAGTTCAGGGGATAAATTCAGCCAAGTGCGGGGGCTAAGCTCCATCAGTCGTGGTTCGTGAAAGGACTCTTATTTTTATGCATGCGTTCACCCGCATCCTCCACATCTAGTTCCCCCTCTCTCATAAGCAACCATTCTGACGCATGAGAGTGTATCCTTTTGTCTGTCTGTGTCCTTGCACAGTCCATAAATGTGTGTGTGGGGGGGTGTGTCAATTCATGGAATTATGTTATGGATAGAAATCTTTCTCTTGGTTCTTTTCCCCGCTTGGCGTGATGTCTTGAAAGTCTGTCCTTGTTGCTCTGTTCATCTGGTCAGCAACTTCTAACTGCTAACAATGACTGGGTGGTGTAAATCTCCCGTAATCTACCCTCCACCCTCCCAAGGTGCCATCAGAAGCCACACTGAGATAACATCACTGTGCTTGTCCTCTTATGGGTTCAGCTGAGAATGTCTTTGGGATATAAAACTAGAGATGAACCTGGTCTTGATGTGTGGACTTACTATTAAGATACACCATCAAGGCCAACAAATATATGAAAAATGTTCAACACTACAGCAATTAAGGAAATTAAATCAAAGCTACGGTGAGATTGCATCTCACTGCAGTCAGAATGGCCGTCATCAAGAATGCAAAGAGCAATGAATATGGAGAGGTGGAGAGGTGGAGAGGAGGTGGAGGGAAAGGGAACTTTTACCCTGTTGGTGGGATTTAAGTTAGTGCAGCCACTGTGGAAACCATGTGGAGGTCCTCAAAAGACTAGGCATGGACCACCATGTGACCCAGCTGTGACACTCCTCAGTATTTGTCCCGAAGAATCAAAGTCATGATGCACCGTGGTCCATGCACACTGGGGTTCACAGCGGCAAACCATGGAGCCAGCCGCAGTGTCCGTCGGTGGGTGGACGGATGAAGAGAATGTGGTGTGTTTGCACAATGGATTTTTATTTGGTCATGAAGAAAAATGAAATTATGTGATTTGCAGGAAACTGATTGAAACTTGAGAACATTTTGTTAAGCAAAATAAGTCAAACTCAGAAGGTCACCTGTTGTTTTCTCATAGACAGAAACTAGAGGTTAAAAAGGAAAAGAAAGGTGGGGGCTTTCATGAAAATCTAAGGGAGATCAGTGGAGTAGGGAAAGGGGTCAGGGGAAAGGGGAAGTCTGGGCTGTGATGTTGGTCATGGATATTGTTAAATCACGTGCATGTGCAAATATGTAACAGATCCCACCATTATGTACAACTGTAATGACCAATAAAAAAAGGGGGGGACATCAAAGTGTTCTGGAGGCCTGCCCCCATCTGCATTCCCATGAGAAGCCCACCCAGCGTCCTTGACCCTTCCAAGCTTGACATGCATGAGCTCTCTGATTGTTTGGCAAAGCAGAGCTAAAGTGAGTCTCCTTCTCGCTTCGATTTCCTCCCTGACCTAGTGAGCGGAGCACCTCTTCATGCTCTTACTAGTCTTGTTTCTCTCCATATTTCTGATTCTTATCTCTTGCCCTTTTCCCGGTGGAATTGCTGTCTCTTCCTGGCTGACTTCAGGGTGTTCTACCAACGTGGCCCTTGCTGGCGGGATGTTTCAGTGCACCCTGAGTCTCCCATCTACCTATTAACGACCTCTCCTGTACATCACTGGGGAAGTCATTGATTTTGATGTTACCAAATGTATCACTTTTTCTTTTTGACTCTCTCAGTTTGGGTTTTTTGAGGTTATCAAAGTGCCTCTTCAACCCTTTGTCATAAAACATATTTTTAAGCACATTCTACATTTACATTCTTCTGTCTTTACATATGGATTTTGTATCTTTCCGTTTTACCCCTAACATCCAGGGCCCTGGGAAGGCCTTGGAAAGGCACCACTTGGATCTCTTGTTATGGAGCCTTGCAAATCCAAAATCTGCAGGGTAAGTTGGCAAACTTACTGACCAGGGAGGAACCACTGTGCAGGCCAAGGCCCAGGCCATCTAGGAAGAATTCCCTCCTGCTGGAGGGAGGTCAGTCTTTTGTTCTATTCAGACTTTGACCTGATTGGACAAGGCCCACCCACATTATGGAGGGAAATTCTCTTTACTCAAAGTCCACAAACTTAAATGCTAATCTCATCCAAAAACACCCTCATGGAAACGTCCAAAATAAAGTTTAACCACAGATCTGGCCACCATGGCCCAGGTAAGTTGGCATGTAAAATTACCCATCATATCAAGAATCTAAAAAAGAAAGTCTCTTAGCTTCTTACACCCACCGAGGGGGTGCTGAAGAGGTCAGACTGCTGCATTTGGCAGGGGAAGGTGCTGAGCAGCTGGAACTCTCTATCTTCTCCACCTGGGGAGGTGCCTTTAGGGTATTTCTCCAGGTTTACTGAGCAGCCATAATATTCAATTTCCTTTGGAAGAAGAACACCTTATTTTGGAGACAAACAAATACAACAAAGATCACCTTCTTGTTTAACCAGTGGACCAGAAAGTAAGAAAAATCCCAGCAGAGAACATGATATAAACATTGGCACGGAGACGCAAGCTGCTCAGTAGATCCTGGGAAATATCCTGAAGGCACCATCCAGATCCCAGAGACCTCCCCGCTCAGATTCAGCAGCCTGACCTCTCCAAGTGCAC